TAATTGGTTGTGCCCTGTTCTGAGGCGCAGGATAATGACTTGTTCTGGTCTGTCCATAATAAAATAGTCGTCTTGTGCTGGGGCTGGTGGTTTCCTGATCAATTTAATGATTCTTTTCTTTTGGTGGTGTGTGACTGGTACATCCGGCTGCTCTTTTGTCGCACCTTCCCCTGCCAGTTGATCAGCTTTCTCATTTCCAGGCACTCCACAATGAGACGGTATCCACTGCATTATGACTTTTCGCTGAAGGCTGAGTCAGTGTTTGCAATTCTGGTAGTTTCCTAGACTGGAGTGCTTCAAGTACTGATTTAGCATCTGTCAGCATTACCATATACTGTGAGCCAAGATTGGTATTTAACAGTTTCTCTGTTGAGTAGGCTCTTATGACATGCTTGTTAGGGAGCAGTGGGTCTATTCTGTTTCTCCCAACAATGGGGTCCCTGAACCCACACAGCAAATTTTGGGTAGCAATCTTTGGTATTTTCTCTTGGTCAGAGAGCTCGGCTCTCTAGCGTAGTCGGCTAAACCGGATTGCGCCGTGACCGGGTGATGAACTCCTTGTGGTCCCGGTTCACTCCCGGGGGTAGGCAGAAAAGCCACATTTCTCCCATATTTACGGTATTTACAATGGAATCAAGGCTGAACGGTTGCAATATCCATAATACCGAGCCTAAGGGTTAACAACTCATGGCTTCTGGATACTAAAAACAAACAAACAAACTTGGTCAGAGAAGAATGATTTTTGATATTTTTTCTTAGTCATCTTTGGTATTTAGAAACTGTAAATATCCAGGTTGATAGTGTTTCAGTAATATAATAATTTAATCTGCAATAACTTCCATGATAAGACTATAACATTGAATTTTTTTTGAGTTAGTGAAAGTCTTTAACAGTGTGATAAATTATGTTATAGTGCATCTATAGCTTTCAGTTTTTATATTGCCTAGTGGTCCTATGATGTCTGTTTCATTAACTTATATGATTGCCAGTCAGTATGTGTGAGTGTGTGTCTGATGTAATAATGTGTATACTACATCTGTAATGTATGTCATATTGTATTGACATAAGGAATAGAATTGGTGCTTTAACATCACACACACACACAACACCCCCCCCCCCTTCCCATTAATAAATAAATATCTTAGTGCAGACACAGAATGAATGGGGAGCCAGTTCCTAGTTTGCTTGTCTTGTTGAATGCTTGGGTGCTCTTGTTTATCACTAACCTGGTATGTGTGACTGACCATTTCTAAACTGTCATTGTTGTCACTGTATCATTCAGTGTGGGGAAGTGAAGTGCTGCACATTCTGTGTATGCATTGAATGTGTGCAGGTTTTTGATTTGCTGTGAACTTAGTGATTGTTTGTATTTGTATAGGAATTAGATTGAGAGTGTGTGTGTGTGTGTGTGTGTGTGTGTGAGAGATAGAGACGGAGAGAGAGAGAGAGAGAGAGAGAGAGAGAGCACTTTTATAAGTAGTAATCATTTAGTGACAACTGCTTTCTCCTAACTGTAAAATGTTACCACCTGTCAAACTTATGTTAATGATTGCTGTTGTCTTCACTATAAACGTTTGGACATTTTCATGACAGATGGTGCGTGCCAGAAGGCTTCTGTCTTTTTTATTTTATATAAACAATAATTATGCAGATGTACATTGATTATCAGATACAGTACAGACATTCATGTTCAGTTTGTTCTCTGACGTGGCTGTGAATCTTGGTTGCTTTAAATAATGCAAATTTAGATGCAGCTGTGGTTATTAACATTTGAAAATTCTGAAGAAGCTGGTTTGGCTGTTGCAACAATTGATGACACGAGACGATGCAGGATCTGCAGGTACCAGACTCAGAAGACGATGAAGAGGTAGTGTCAGACTAGACCTAAAGGAAAAGATGATGAAGAGGTAGTGTCAGACTAGACCTAAAGGAGAAGATGATGATGAGGTAGTGTCAGACTAGACCTAAAGGAAAAGATGATGAAGAGGTAGTGTCAGACTAGACCTAAAGAAAAAGATGATGATGAGGTAGTGTCAGACTAGACCTAAAGGAGAAGATGATGAAGAGGTAGTGTCAGACTAGACCTAAAGGAAAAGATGATGAAGAGGTAGTGTCAGACTAGACCTAAAGGAGAAGATGATGATGAGGTAGTGTCAGACTAGACCTAAAGGAGAAGATGATGAAGAGGTAGTGTCAGACTAGACCTAAAGGAGAAGATGATGAAAAGGTAGTGTCAGACTAGACCTAAAGGAAAAGATGATGAAGAGGTAGTGTCAGACTAGACCTAAAGGAAGAGAAGATGAAGAAGTAGTGTCAGGCTATACCTAAAGGAGCTTATTGTCAGTGACTAGCAAGACTTCTGCGATAAAGAAAAAAAAAACCAGATTGAGCTTGCAGCAGTGTCTTAATCTTTTCAACCCAAAAATGCTAAAAGTCATGAACCCATAAGACTTGCCAGAAAAAAATCTTCAAAAGATACAGTCGTATTACACAGGTCACTAACAAATTGTGTACAAATGTATGTATCAATTTATATTTAATGTTTAAAAAAAAAAATACAATGAAATATAAACAGGTAATCAATAAACACTAACGGAGTGAAGCATTAAATGTAATACATTCACTAGGGCATATAAAAAACTGGCTCTCCTGTCAATTTAGGCCATCAGCTGGAAAGCCGCCAATCGCTTAGTGGGAGTTCTCTCCCTTAACTGCATTGCGAAAACGGAGCGGAAAAGTCACGAATCAAAAAAGGCAGTGAGGTCGACAACAGGGCTGCCAATGCTTCTGTGTTTCCCCCAGATCTGGCTGTTTATTTGACGCTTTGGGGAAATCTGGGGGTTTTTTAAAAGTAAATATATACTTATATAACAGTGGTATTAGTTGCCACGGATGTGACTCCTGCAGATCTGTATGACCTAATGACCGCCGATAAATTTGCGTGGTTAGGGGTAGCGTTAGGGTTAGGGTTAGATGTGACAATTTTGACGCAGGAGTTTCAGATAATCGCGCACAGTCACATACACACCCAAAAAATGGAAGGACTGCGGATGCTACTCAAACGGACAATTCGCCACCGATGGGGCACCAGCCACGCGCTATTGCCGTCATATTTGGGAGAATTCCAGTGGCGCCACTCCCACAAGCATCAGATTGTCGGCCAGTGTTTGGAACTCCTACGTCAAGATTGTCACATCTAACCCTACCCCTAACCCTACCCATAACCCTAACCCTAATCCTAACCCTAACCCTAACAGTAACCCTAACCCTATCCCTAACCCTAACCCTGACCGTATGATGACTACGCAACCGCACACGCAACCGTATGATGATAGGTAACCGTAACCGTATGATGACTACGCAACCGTACACGCAACCGTATGATGATAGGTAAGTATGTCATTTGATTCGTGACTTTTCCGCTCCGTGTTCGCAATGCACCCAAGGGAGAGAACTCCCACTAAGCGATCGGCGGCAGTCCAGCTAACGGCCTAAGTTGACAGGAGAGCCAAAAAACTAAATGTATTGGGTTACTCTTGCCGTGATCCTGTGACACCTGTTACTGAGGCTTACAGGGACATTTGGACTGTTACTGAGGCTTACAGGGACATTTGGACTGTTACTGAGGCTTACAGGGACATTTGGACTGTTACTGAGGCTTACAGGGACATTTGGACTGTTACTGAGGCTTACAGGGACATTTGGACTGTTACTGAAGCTTGCAGGGACATTTGGACTGTTACTGAGGCTTGCAGGGACATTTGGACTGTTACTGAGGCTTACAGGGACATTTGGACTGTTACTGAGGCTTACAGGGACATTTGGACTGTTACTGAGGCTTGCAGGGACATTTGGACTGTTACTGAGGCTAGCAGGGACATTTAGACTGTTACTGAGGCTTACAGGGACATTTGGACTGTTACTGAGGCTTACAGGGACATTTGGACTGTTACTGAGGCTTACAGGGACATTTGGACTGTTACTGAAGCTTGCAGGGACATTTGGACTGTTACTGAGGCTTGCAGGGACATTTGGACTGTTACTGAGGCTTACAGGGACATTTGGACTGTTACTGAGGCTTACAGGGACATTTGGACTGTTACTGAGGCTTGCAGGGACATTTGGACTGTTACTGAGGCTAGCAGGGACATTTAGACTGTTACTGAGGCTTACAGGGACATTTGGACTGTTACTGAGGCTTACAGGGACATTTGGACTGTTACTGAGGCTTACAGGGACATTTGGACTGTTACTGAGGCTTACAGGTACATTTGGACTGTTACTGAGGCTTACAGGGACATTTGGACTGTTACTGAGGCTTGCAGGGACATGTGGACTGTTACTGAGGCTTACAGAGACATTTGGACTGTTACTGAGGCTTACAGGGACATTTGGACTGTTACTGAGGCTTACAGGTACATTTGGACTGTTACTGAGGCTTACAGGGACATTTGGACTGTTACTGAGGCTTGCAGGGACATTTGGACTGTTACTGAGGCTTGCAGGGACATTTGGACTGTTACTGAGGCTTACAGGGACATTTTAACTGTTACTGACGCTTACAGGGTCATTTTGACACCAATTTGGCTTTCAAAAAAGCCATTAGGGTCAGAAATATCACCTGGTTGCTCCAGATGCTATATTGAGTTCCTGTATTAATATCCTGGCCTATTAAACACTGTCCAGGGATGTGATACAGCTGGAGGTGACTAGATTTCGGCTTCTGGGGTTGAAAGTGTTCAGCTTGTAGGAAAGACTCTTAAGATTGTTGCAGTTAGTGTTACAGCATAAGAAACGAAATATTTATAGTTAGAGAAGATTTCCACTTTCTAGGTCTTGGAAAAGGGGGGGGGGGGGGGGGCCTGGCATTTTAATAATTCCATAACACCAGATTTGTTAACTATTAAAAAGAACATACTTTTTGTTGTTGTCCTGGATGTTCTCACTGAGATTAATTTTTGTGTGGCATTATTTTATGTATTTTCAATTTTCCTTTACAGCAACAAAAGGCAATTTTCTCAAAGAAGAGTGGATTGCTTATGTATGCCGGGAGATTTTACGGGTAAGCATTCTGAGTTTTGTGTATAAGATGGTGTTTGGTGTGGCCCACTCTTTGTCCCAGCTGCCAGTTACCACTCCAGAACTAAGGTGGAGTTCCGGTGTCCTAATTTCTATAAATAAAGCCATTTCCTACCAGCAAACGCCACCTAAATGCTATATCTGGCAGCTGTGCTCATTACCAGTCATTCTAAAAAGTTGCCCGTAAAAAAAAACGGGAGGCAATGGTGCCGGCGGTGCTCCTTGTAAACAAACCTCTGTAGAAAGCCAAGAAGAGGACATCTACAGCCCATGGGTAACATCTGAAGCATCAGGTTTTGCTCTTCTGGAGGCGAGAGGGTTCAGATATTAATTTCCTCCTGTATACTAACTAAATACACCTCAAATGGAGACAGTTACTTTTACTTGTGTCTAGTTTGTTGCAAAACATACAAGTAGTACGGTTAGCAGTTATTACCATTAGAGCAGAGCTTTCTGAAATGTAATGTTGGGTACGCATTTTAGACAGACATGATTTCAAGACAGTATTTCAACTAGCAAGCCAGATGTTAAAATAACTGCTTATAAGAGATGGACACATACATAATTTGTTTACTGTTTAAGGTTTATTTGCCACACCTCCACACTGTAGCTAGCAAACTAATATGTTAGAATTTGGTAAGCTCTGTATTAGAGAGAGGGGGAAAAAAAGGGGGGGGGGGGGGGGGGTTGCATTAGAACTTCCCATACCCTAAACCAATGTATAGTGAGGTTCCCTTGCTCAACACTTTTCCTTCTCACATTTTTTCTAAGTGTCTGGTACTTATTTTTATAAGGCTGGTTCAGTTCTACTACCAAACTGGTAGACAGATAACCTTCCTCAATTAGAAATTGAACTACAACCTCCCCGGGTTCTGGGACTCTATTTTGGAGAACAAAGAATAGATCTACTGCTTTCCTAACAAGCATGTCATAGGAGGTGGCTAATTAGGGGTGTTTTCTTTAAAATTGATGTGCATCTGCCTGAGAGACAAGGAACCAACAGTCTGCATACAAATAAACCAGATCTGGTATCTTAGATTCAGCTTCATAGCAAACGGGTCACATGGTAGTTGCTCTGCTCCTGTGCCAACGAAAAACAGACAGAATGTCCATCACTGTCCTTGTGGGAAAAATTAACACAGGCTGCAGGCTCAGCATACAAACACATAAAAGCATAAGGCAGCCATCAGAAGTGCTATCGCGAACAGTCTGACATCAGAAATGCAGCTCATCATGGACGGAAGCAGCGGTTACAAACAGATTAGCAGTTGCACACGCGATCAAATTTAACGACATAAGTCACCACTAATTCTGTGGCAACAGGAAACACGCCATTTTTTTGAATCTGCAGTTTACAGTCGAAAAACATTGCAGCTCACAGTGTTGCACCATGCACTCAGCTTAATAGATGGGCGATGAAACTATATTTTTTCAGTCTTCAAATGGAGGGAAAGGCAACAGCCACCCTCTGTCAACAGCACAACATTTGCCACAACTCAAAACAGTGGCCGTGCCTATCGTCCATTGTGAACAGGAAGTCTGGTTCTGCAAGCGAGATATGTAAAGGGATGTGCTAAACCAAGTCCAAGAGTTTATGAACATCCAGAACTTTCCACCAAAGTTTACAACTGGTTAATGTGAATAAAAGCTAGTCTTACAGGTCATCAAAGAATAACAAATAAAGTGGTTTTGACATCTGACGAGAATTCCCTGGTACTGTCTACCACAATGAGCCACACTGAAACATTGCAACTGGTATAGAGCGAGGAGAAGACTTTATAAAAGATGGACTGATAGCATGGCCTTACAGAAATGCACATCAATCTTAATAGTGCTCTTGACAGAGCTCGTCCACGAACGTTACATCTCCCCCAACACCTCACTGAGGTACAAGGTGGAAGAAGAAGAAGAAGAAGAAGAAGAAAACGAAGTTAGATAACTATGGCCACTGGCTTGGTACGTAAAAACACCATGTTGCCACTGCATTTCCTCTGTCTGTGTGAATATTAAATTGTTTGGCCTCTTAATATATTTTTTCTTTACTCGTGTGTATATCTGATGTAATCTCTCTTCTGGTAAGGGCTTGGCCCATCTCCATGCCAACCGAGTGATTCATCGAGACATCAAGGGACAGAATGTTCTGCTCACAGACAATGCTGAAGTGAAATTAGGTGAGAGTTGTGTGCAAGCTTCATGTGTTTATGGTCATATGTTGTAGAATAATGTTCCTATGTAATTATTTAATGGCTTGTCATCGTAATAACACACAGGACCAAAGAGATCAAACAGGACCTTAATGTTAGAGGGAAAATTAGAGGCAGAGGTCGAGGAAGCTGTAGTAGAAGGATAAAGATAAGAGTGGTTGTGTTATATTTTTTTTAAACCTTTAAAAATGTTGTGGTGGTCTACAGCTGGGCTGGGATATCTGCATATTTTGGCCGAACTCATCTGATGGGGCTGAAACATGGAAAACAACTAAGGCAACTACTAATAAATTACAAACATTAACTGGTGCCTGTGCAGAATAGAGGGAATTAAATGGTATGATAGAAAAACTAATGTAGAACTTTGGGAGAGAACTAAACAGGCTCCAGTGGACCAAGAGGTGAGGAAAAGACGCTGGCGTTGGATAGGACACACACTGAGAAAACGGGAACAGCATAACTAGAATGTCTTTGCATTCCTATGCCCACAGGGGCATAGGAATAAAGAAGGCTAAAAAACACGTGGAGAAGAGAGCTGGAGAATGAAGTTAGAAAGATGGGGAGGACATTGGGAGAGCTCCATGTAATGGGGAAAGATAGAACGCCTTGGCATGAGTTGGTTGAGGGCCTATGCTCCATTGTGGGATAGAAAGGCAGAAGAAGAAGAAGAAAAGTGTTGCTGGGCTGAGTTATCTGCATATTTTGGCCAAACTCATATGATTTCAACAAACACATAGTTGCCTTTAACGACATGCTTCTTAAGGAGGTTCAACCTCCCCTCCCTCCCCAGTGGATCCCTGGAACCCACGTGAGGGAACTTGGATTATTTTAGAGTGCATGCTTCAGTGGAGATAAATGAAAAAAAGTGATTATAAATGATGGCTTAAGCCATGAGAGTGTGTATTATTTAGTTGTATTAACTTTATAGCCAGACATGCAGAAAGAAGAGATGATTGTAATAATACCTAGCAGTGAGTGCTGCCGAGTTGTAGCTGATAGATGCTTGCCTGTGGATCAGAAGGCTGTAGGTTAAAATCTGAAGGCAGCTAGACCTTAAAAAAGAAAAATGACTTCAATTCCCAGGGCGACCTAGTCTTAAATCGGTACCAGGTCAAGGCGGTGGGCGTGATGTTGACCCCATTACCCACAAACCGGTCTATCAGTAGAGGTCTAGCACTAGATTTACCCAGCTTGGACAAGGGTCTTTTTCTTTTTTTTGTTTTTTAGACTTTGGTTTATTATTTATGGGAATTTGCTTGGGTTGATGTCTTTAAAAAAAATATATAATTTTTTACGTTGATCCTGTTTCTGAAGAATTTCTTAAAGGATGGGTGCGTTTCTTGGACAGGATTGCAGGTCACTCCAGTATCCTTGTGACCTTAGCATGCCTAAAGGAGCATCCATGTCACCCTAGTGTCCTCGTTTGTTTCGCTTACTTATGTCTATCAAAGGTTCTTTATCCCTGTATGATTATTGATCTCCCTCTTTCGTGCCCAAAGAGAGTATAATTCACCCCAGTATGATCCTTTATGCCGCTATATCATGCCTATCAAAGGTTCTACCCTACCCCAATGTGATTCTTTGTCTCACCTTTTCATGCCCATAGAAAAGTCCAACTCACCCTGGATTGAATAAGCATAACACCACATTATGGCAATCAAAGGCATCTTCTACCTTACCCCCATGTGATTCTTGTCTCACTGTGTCATGCCTATATAATAGTCCAGCTCACCCCATGGTGATCCTTTGTTGCACTCTGTCATGTCATCAGTGGTTCCACCTTACCCCAGCATAATCCTTTGTGTCACCATGTCATACCATCAATGGTTTCACCTTACCCCAGCATAATCCTTTGTATCATGCCATCAGTGATTCCACCTTACCCCAGCATAATCCTTTGTGTCACCATGTCATGCCATCAATGGTTCCACCTTACCACAGAATAATCCTTTGTGTCACCATGTCATGCCCATAAAAGAGTCTTAACTCATTGGCCAGTGTGATCCTTATCATGCACATGCAGTGTTCTCACTTGCTGTCTGTGTGATTCTTTGTCACACTCTTTTGTGCCCATAGAAGAACCCAACCCATCCCATCCTAATCCTTGTGTGAGCCTGTCCTACCAAAACACACCCTAATGCGACCACTTGTGGCACCCTACCAAGCCGTAGAAGAGTCCATTTCACCCAAATTGAATCCATTTGTCAGCCCATCATGCTGAACAAAGGTTTATTGCACACATGTGCAACCCCTTGTGCCAGTCTACCATTCCGGAAGAAGGGCTCACTTCACCCAAGTGTAACATCTTGTGCCAGTCCACCAATCTCAAAGACAAGTTCAATACACCCAAGTGTCATCCCCTTCTGAAACACTGTGTATGTCTATAGACTTGTTATATATATATATATATATATATAATTTTCCTGAAACTTTTGACCAGTTTAGATGTTATAATTTCACTTCATAGTTGATTTTGGAGTCAGTGCCCAGCTTGATAAAACCATTGGCAGGAGGAATACTTTCATTGGAACTCCATATTGGTAAGTTTTCACACGTTTTAGGTTATAAAGTGGCCGGAATGACTTAGAAATGAGTCTGCCTCTAACTTGAGCTGACTGGCTGCAATATGTTGAAAGAACTGTTATGAAAAGATATCAAACCAGATGAAAAGTAGAACCATTGAGCTTAACACTCACAACAGCGAACAACAGTTTAACAGATGTAGCTAGAGAACCTTTATCACCACACTATGTATCTACATTTGTCTGACCGGTAGAATGTCAACAAAACTCCTAGCCATTCACAGTCACTGGCGAATAAAATGTCAACAAAACTTCTAGCCATTAACAGACACTGGCCAGTAGAATGTCAGCAAACTCCTAGCCATTAACAGTCACTGGCCAGTAAAATGTCAACAAACTCCTAGCCATTCACAGTCACTGGCCAGTAAAATGTCAACAAACTCCTAGCCATTCACAGTCACTGGCCTGTAGAATGTCAACAAACTCCTAGCCATTAACAGACACTGGCCAGTAGAATGTCAACAAACTCCTAGCCATTAACAGACACTGGCCAGTAGAATGTCAACAAACTCCTAGCCATTAACAGACACTGGCCAGTAGAATGTCAACAAACTCCTAGCCATTAACAGACACTGGCCAGTAGAATGTCAACAAACTCCTAGCCATTAACAGTCACTGGCCAGTAGAATGTCAGCACAACTCCTAGCCATTAACAGACACAGGCCAGTAGAATGTCAACAAACTCCTAGCCATTAACAGACACTGGCCAGTAGAATGTCAACAAACTCCTAGCCATTAACAGTCACTGGCCAGTAGAATGTCAACAAACTCCTAGCCATTAACAGACACTGGCCAGTAAAATGTCAACAAACTCCTAGCTATTAACAGTTACTGGCCAGTAGAATGTCAGCAAAACTCCTAGCCATTCACAGTCACTGGCCAGTAGAATGTCAGCAAACTCCTAGCTATTAACAGACACTGGCCAGTAAAATGTCAACAAACTCCTAGCCATTAACAGACACTGGCCAGTAAAATGTCAACAAACTTCTAGCCATTCATAGTCACTGGCCAGTAAAATGTCAACAAACTTCTAGCCATTCATAGTCACTGGCCAGTAAAATGTCAACAAACTCCTAGCCATTAACAGTCACTGGCCAGTAAAATGTCAACAAACTCCTAGCCATTAACAGTCACTGGCCAGTAAAATGTCAACAAACTCCTAGCCATTAACAGTCACTGGCCAGTAAAATGTCAACAAACTCCTAGCCATTAACAGACACTGGCCAGTAAAATGTCAACAAACTCCTAGCCATTAACAGTCACTGGCCAGTAAAATGTCAACAAACTCCTAGCCATTAACAGACACTGGCCAGTAAAATGTCAACATAACTAGCCATTCACAGTCACTGGCCAGTAAAATGTCTAAAATAAGCAGTCCAAGTCATGTCACTTGATAGGGCACTTGATGGTGACAGTATGGCTGTTGATATTATGATCATTATATGCCTCTCCATGTGGGTTCTGTGTATCAATTTGAGGATGGGGAAGAGGGGAAAAAAAGAGAGGAAAAGGGGGGAGGGGGTGTACGGAGTGTAGACCCACAAGCATATTTTAAAAGGTAAATAAATTAGAGTAGGATAGGATAAGTTGACACAGTTGTTGCAGCCTAGTTGTAAACCTCACAACATGACCAACCTACCACCTTTTTTAGGGCAAATGAAGAATATATGGTAACGGTTTGTGTCGTGGTATGATCCGTCTGTAAATTGAAGGGCTGATCTTACTTGATGTAGGAATTACTATTGATTGCATCATCATGTTGCAGGTCCTTTGCAAAACTGTCTCTCATCTCGTGCATTTTCCTACCCAAGGTTCACTGATATCCTGTGCCCACTTTTGTGATGTTCAGCCCTTGCCTGTCTGCCCTGGTACCGTGCCTTCTGCTATTATTCATTGATTGCATGGCGGTCGCCATGGTGAAGTGGTCAAACCATTTGCCTCGTACTGTGAAGGTTGTGGGTTTTTATGGCTGCGCCGTTCACTTCACAAATGCATTTTTTACAGAGATCACTGGGGAATCATCAGAGCTATGGAGTTTGTGCTTTTTACGACACTCTTCATGCAGTTAGCCATTCTGTGGAGATAGACTGAGCCATATGCGATAAAAGATCCTCTCGACATTAGCATTTATTGATTGCGTATGTGATGATTATTTGGCTGTGACTACACGTGTTTAAGACATAATATTTGTTGTTTTAGGATGGCCCCTGAAGTCATAGCCTGCGATGAGAATCCTGATGCAACTTACGACAAGCGGGTAATTCTATGTTAGTTTTATATTGAAGGAAGGGTTTTATTTCATTGATCTTGTGTTTCATTTTTGTGAAATACTGGGGTAATGTAAAGTAGTTTATCTCATACCTTATTTTATTTTTCTGTGGATTTTTTCTTTTCTCTTGTTTTTTTTGTTTTGAGGATGGTAATTCTATCCTCAGTTGTTTCTTATTTTTTCATTGTTGTCTCTTTCTTTAATCCTGTTTCACCTTTTCTCCTTTCTTTCTTTTGGTGTCCACTCAACTTATCTCCTTAGTTTTATCTCTAATGTCTTTTTTTATCTGTAACAAATTGCTTTGGCTGCAACTGACTGTCATCTATTATGGACGATTATTGCACATAATTATTTATAATTTTCCTAGGTTTTCCTGGCCTTTCCATGAGCAGTTTATGTCAACATATGGACCTGATTGTTGCGCATAATGAGGCCCAATTAGTACGATAAATGGCTATACCATAGAATATGTATATGTGAAAACTGACTATCTAGTGGGGTGAGAACCAGGTTTTTTCAAAGTTAAAAAAAAAATTTTAATAATTTCCCCACACTTTGTCATAAAATAGGCAAACCTCTGATCTCTTGGGAAAGAGTTAGGACAGAATCTGGTGTCCTTACCACACGGAGCTGTGGCTTATCATATTAACATGTCATTCTGATCTTTAAGACATCACTTTTTTTTTATTAGCTTTAATTTGACCACTTTGATTGTGAGAAGCTCGGAGATTCATTTAATACATCTTTTTTTTTCCTACCGCAGAGTGACCTCTGGTCTTTGGGCATAACTGCAATAGAAATGGCTGAAGGAAAACCTCGTAAGTCAAGGAGTGTATTTGGTCAAAAATTCACCTATTCTTTTGCTTGTATATCTCTTTATCTGTTTATTCAACTGCCAAGTAATTCCGCAGCAGTATGAGCATCAAACATACAGAGTGCAATGTCAGACTATTAAACGTAAAATTTGCCTGTAAAAACCACAGTCAGTTCAACACGTGCTGTAAAAACTGTATACACAAGGGAGATGAATGTTCGTAGACCACGAGGCAGACCAAGAAGACAATGGAGAGATAATTTCTAGACAGACCTGCAAACACTTGGTGTCACCAACTGGAAAGAGAAGGCCAACCAGAGAACGAACGAACGAACTTTATTTTCAAAGGGTTACAAATTAGGCACGCAGGCCTGTCTTACATTCGGCCCTTCGGGTGATATCTGCAGCAGTGAAACTCAAGGGCTCAGAATGCTGAAAAAGAAGAAGAAGAAGTATCCTGTAAAGGATATGCAGCTAACTAACTTTATTACCATCAGGAATTAGATGAGACAGACAGAAACTGAATCATATATAAAATCATAACTGTTATCCAACTGTTGTCTAGGACCACCTCTGCAGTGGTCAGCTAGACTGAATCAGCTAGTTTAAAAATGGGAATTACATAGCATATTGATGTTTATACTTGTATACATCCTGATGATTATGATCTGATGGTTGACATAATGATCATTGGACCTGATGGTGATGGCTTGAGGGTAATGGCTTGATGGATGTCCTCATGGTAATGGCTTTATGGATATGTTCTGATGGTTATGGCTTGATAGATATGTTCTGATGGTAATGGCTTGATGGATGTGTTCTGATGGTTATGGCTTGATAGATATGTTCTGATGGTCAGGGCTTGATGGATATGTTCTGATGGTCAGGGCTTGATGGATATGTTCTGATGGTCATGGCTTGATGGATATGTTCTGATGGTCATGGCTTGATGGATATGTTCTGATGGTCATGGCTTGATAGATATGTTCTGATGGTAATGGCTTGATGGATATGTTCTGATGATCATGGCATGATGGATGTGTTCTGATGGTCAAGGCTTGATGGATATGTTCTGGTTGTCATGGCTTCAGAGATATATCCTGGTGGTCATGATCTTAGGGTTATGTCCTTATTTTCAAGTCTTGATGGGTATCCAACGTTGATTATGTAAAGGTAATGTTCTTGGTGGTCATGGTCCAGTATGTCTGATAGGCAGGTCTGCTGATATTCTTGATGATTGTAGTCTGATGCTTTTGTTTTGATGGTTTGATGGAGATGCTCAGTAATGGGAACTCCAAAGCTTGTTTGTGATCTAGCCTGCTGGATGAAGCCTTCCTTATTAAGTGGAGACCAGAACATCTTATGCATAACAAGGCAGCCATTATTATTGGGAGCCACACCACACAGTGAGCAACATTTGGTCATAATCTTATGAGTCTAGTAGCATGTCCCCAACGTAATGTGTTGGCATGGAAAGAGGACTTTTTTGGTTGTGATTAACAGTTTTTTTTTTTTCTCCAGATGTCTTTAATTACTCAACGTAAAATTTGCTTAGGAAAAAAAAACCTGCAACAGTAAAAAAAATGCTGGAGTTGGTTGTGCAATGTCCTGTATGTAAAGGATAGGCAACTAACTTAACTTCTTTAATGTGTTCACGCTTGCCTACCAACCCCTCGATCATGTTTTGAAATCTCCATTGACATAGGGATTCAAAAACAAAAATTTATCTGAGTTTCCAAGTCAGCCCAGCCTACATTGGGTCCAGAAAGTTTTCTGGGAAGTAAAAGCCATCATGATAATGACTGCATCACCCATTGTACCATTACAATTCACTTTGTTTTGTGTAACCATGCATTTATCAGTCATTTGTGAATGGTTTCAGCTCTGTGTGATATGCATCCCATGAGGGCTCTGTTTTTAATCCCAAGAAATCCTCCACCTCGCCTAAAAAATCCAAACAAATGGTAAGTTTCTATATTTGTCTTGATAAGGCACAACTATATTTTGTCTTTATTTTGCATATCAGTCACCATCATCATCATCATCATTTTCGGTTTCAACTTTTTTGTTTGTTAACAACCATCTTGGGTATGAACAGTTCGCGATCCAATGCTCATTGCTAAATGGGTAGCACTGGATTTTGTCTGTCCAATTGGATCTAGAACATCTTTAATATTGTCATTCAATGGTTTTATTGGGTGGCCTCTTGTTTGCATGTCAGATCTTTTTAGGTATAGTTAGTGTCTGTGTTGGTAGTTGTTGTGTCTGTGTTGGTAGTGGTTGTGTCTGTGTTGGTAGTGGTTGTGTCTGTGTTGGTAGTTGTTGTGTCTGTGTTAGTAGTTGTTGTGGCTGTGTTAGTAGTTGTTGTGCCTGTGTTAGTAGTTGTTGTGCCTGTGTTAGTAGTTGTTGTGTCTGTGTTAGTAGTTGTTGTGTTGGTAGTGGTTGTGTCTGTGTTAGTAGTTGTTGTGGTTGTGTTGGTAGTGGTTGTGTCTGTGTTGGTAGTTGTTGTGTCTGTGTTGGTAGTTGTTGTGTCTGTGTTGGTAGTTGTTGTGTTGGTAGTTGTTGTGTCTGTGTTGGTAGTTGTTATGTTGGTAGTTGTTGTGTCTTTGTTGGTAGTTGTTGTGTTGGGAGTGGTTGTGTCTGTATTGGTAGTTGTTGTGTCTGTGTTGGTAGGTGTTGTGTCTGTTTTGGTAGTTGTTGTGTTGGTAGTTGTTGTGTCTGTGTTGGTAGTGGTTGTGTCTGTGTTGGTAGTGGTTGTGTCTGTGTTGGTAGTGGTTGTGTCTGTGTTGGTAGTTGTTGTGTCTGTGTTGGTAGTGGTTGTGTCTGTGTTGGTAGTGGTTGTGTCTGTGTTGGTAGTTGTTGTGTCTGTTGGTAGTTGTTGTGTCTGTGTTGGTAGTGGTTGTATCTGTGTTGGTAGTTGTTGTGTCTGTGTTGGTAGTGGTTGTGTCTGTGTTGGTAGTTGTTGTATCTGTGTTGGTAGTTGTTGTGGCTGCATTCTGATATAACCACACCGTTTGATCTTCTGCTTCTCAGCATTTTGAAGCAAGGTGCTTTCACAGTCTTTGTCTGATAATATTATTTTTCATTTTGTCTCTGATTGTTAAGTTGGTGGCTTTCCTAAGGCAGCGTAACTGACAAGTGTTAATTTCACCTGAGGTTATCATCATCATCATCATCATCATGTGCCCTGACCACTTGCATAGGTGTTCATGCATCTTCACAGACCTCGGTCCCTTGCCCTCTGAATAAGTTCCACGATGATATCCCTCCGTACAACCGTCGCAGTCCATCCATCATCTCTCGGCTGTCATGCATAGTTTAATTTTTGTTAATTGCATTTCTGTAATAGTCTTTGTGTATAATTTCTTTGTTTGCCTTTGCATGACGTTCTGTATTTAATTATCTCCATATAGCAAAACTGAATTGCCTCTTTATGAAAATTATTTGTGAATTTCCACATGGACATGTACGCCCCCCCCCCCCCCCCCCCCCCCCCCACATTTTGAGATTTTCTATGTGACAATTATTTCTTTGTCTCTTTATACTAATTCTTTATTTGTTTTTGTAAGATTTTTTTGTGGTTTTTTTTGGGTCTATACAAGAGAATTACTTTGTTGTTGTTGTTCAGGAAGAAACTAGAAGCTTTTGATCTGATTTTGTTTTTTATAGAACATTCGACACTCAGTGGGAGATGTGGTTAACATCAAGCTGGTCACCTTTACTTCTCTGGACATTACCTGGCATCCATTTTTAGGCCAGATCGACCTGAGATGTTTTTATTTAGCACATTAATATTTGTCTCTGCATTTGTTGGAATATAAAGAAGAACTGTAAAGTTGTAATCAGTCGCCACATCCTGAGGAAGATATTGAAGATGGTTTTTGAGCATTTATATACTTGTCCGATGAGGATTTTAAATTACGTATCTATATAAGAATTTAAGCAGTGGCCAGTGACTGTTCAAAGACCAACTGCCTTCCTTGCAATTACATTGACTCTCTGTCTTCCATCTGCAGGTCTAGTAAGTTCCACAACTTTGTCGATTGTTGCCTGGTGAAGGATTATCAGCAACGTCACTCTACAGAACAACTGCTCAAGCACCCCTTCATCAAGGACCAGCCCACTGAGAGGCAGGTTAGGATTCAGCTGAAAGATCACATTGACAGACACAAGAAAAATCGTAAAGGTTTGTATAGTCTAAAATATTTTCATCAGTTTCTGAGCAGGTGTGTTCGTAAGCTGCTGCATCTTCTTCTTCTTCATTCTAACTCTGGCGGAAAGTTATGGTTCCTTGCCTCCACCTTCGAAGGAAGCCCCCAATTAGTCAACTCTTACGACATGGTTGTTGGGGAGGCTGTGGATCTATTCTTGTTTTCCCCACAGCGGGCCCCGGAACCCACACAAGAAGTTCCTAAGCATGAAACTCATGGCCGTTTCAGTTTATACAGTAAAACCTAGTTAACAAATTTTCTAGAATACCGACAATCAAAGGCTTGTATTTTTACAAAAATACCTCCTGTAAGGGAGTAATGGCAATCACAACCATAGTGATTGTGGGTGTCGATTTAAGGGATGAAATTCCTCATCTCTAAATCACAAGACCTGTGTAGTATTAGAGAGATCATGTATTGCTCATGCAGTATGATCCCTCTCTCTGTCAGCTTATATAATAAAGACAGAAATTCACTAGTAATGTAAACAAAAATTGTTTAGTGTTTTACAAGTCATACAGAAACCATTGACTCAAAGACCTGAAAGAAATTAAGATGTGAACAATAAGGGGAGCTTAACCTTGTTTTAATACAAACCTGTCACGATACATATTTGACTATATCACAATGCAAGCATAGTTAGGAACATGGGTAAACTAGATTATGTAGGTTAATATACATAGCGTTTTTGCACTTTACTTTAAGAAATAAATATATTTAGTAGCATATCCTGAAGAGTGACTGGTCTAACAGTTAAGAATGCAGGACTATTTTGCGGAAGACCGAAGTTCAAATCCTTGTTAAGATTTGAGATTTTTTTTCTTCTTTCCGGAGCAGAAATAAAATCCTAACCTCCACAGTTTGTGGAGACAGCACTAGCCATGCAGCCTCAACTCCTCAGGCTCAAAGACCGATACACACTCCCACTCCCGTCTACACCACAGAGTAGTAATCAGAGGCAGTAATAGCAGTATTTTAGTTGGATATCTTTCTCAGGCTAAGTTATCATACGCTTATTCATCAAGCGGAAGACAGAGAAAGATGGCCAGTTTTGTGTGCTAGGGCTTCCATCGATACACCTCCACGACCCTAACAGGTCAAGGTTTATGTTATCTTTCTCAGGGCATGACAGACAAAATATCACTTCCCGTCCTTTTTAGGATGACATTTTTTCGTTATTTGAAGCCCTACTCTGGCTCTCGCCAGGGGACGCAATATAGCCCGGCCATAAATATGGCCTAATGGCTGAACACGGTTTCTGGGACCTCTCCACGGTGATCCACAAGGTGGAACTTTGTGTCATCGGGTGTTTATCGCTTGTTTGATGTCCTAGGGGGGTAGAAAGTCAGTCAGTCAGTCATGACATACAAACCCAAGCATTTATTGCTGTTATGTTGACCCACTAGAAGAATGGACTCAGTAGTTTGCCACTGCTTTCTGACTGAATGATGCACATAATATTGTCGAAATCAGTGCAAAGCGGTCAGTCTGCTATCAGATACGTGCGTCTGACTTTGAACCTCAGTGTTTTAAGAAAGTAGCTGCAGACATTTAGTTATGAAACTTTCTATCTGGACATTGTACTCAAGGCCTAGAATTTGTATTGTGCCGCAATTATTGCTTGGATAACTTAAGACATGTAAAGTTGATATCATGAATAAGTTGAATGAGTTGCATAAGTTGATCTTCATTTCTTTGAGGCTGTTATTGATGTTGTTCTTCCATCTTTAGCATTTTTTTCCCTTACTCGTGTGTTCATTGTATTTCTTCAGCATGACTGTCTGTGGCAGTCGGTACCAGGGTATTGTAATCAGATGGCCAAACCTTCTCATTTGTTGCTATAAGCAACAAGTAATCAAAATCTGCTCCACAGGATGCTGTTAAAAATGTAACCAAATGTTCAGAGGTTTTCCCATAGGTCCTTCCACAGTGACTTTGCTTCACCCTGATATGTTTTTACATTACAAACTAAACAACTCTATACTGTTAGATTAGCGGTTCTTAACCTGTGGGTCACGACCCTTTTGGGGGGTCAAACGACTCTTTCACAGGGGTCACCATCGGAAAACATATATTCACCGAAGGTATGAAGTAGCAGCGAAAACAATTTTGTGGTGGGGGGGGGGGGGGGGGGGACCACAACATGAGGAACTGTATTAAAGAGTCATGGCACTCCACTCAGAAGGTTGAGAACCGGTACACTAGATGGTCTGCAGTGATGTGAAAACTTTGACAGTGGCAGACAAATGGATCGATCACCTTAAAGTTACAAAATTATCCATTGATATTTTGCTTGTCAGAAATGTTCCAGAATGAGAATCTTTGTTGGTAAGTTTATTGTCAGAACCAGGGCAGGTCTAAATATGTGGTCATAGTTTATTTATCGGAGCCATGTCATAATTAATTCCCTGCAAAGCTTACTAATCTGAGCCAGGTCAGGTCTAAACCTAAGTTCATAATTTACTAATCAGAGCCATTTAAGGTTTAATCAGATGTTTATACTTTACTAATCAGAGCCAGATATCTCTAAGCATATGTTCTAGTTTAGGAGTTCATGTAAAAATATGTCTAGAAACTATTAATCAGCGGCAGAGAAAGTGTAAACATAAATTCAGAGTTTAATTATCATAGGCAGGTCATAATCGAATGGTTTTGGACCACTTTCATTATACTCTGTTATCTTCATAAATGCAACATTTTTCTCCCATATGTAATTAAAATCATTCCCCTGCTATTCCATTTATGTGTCACACACAGTCCATTCCTAGATTCCATCCTATCCTGCACAATCTTGTCTATATCATGGATGGAATGCAGTTGAAAACCTTTAACTTTTTTCATCAACATTTGTCCTAGGGTTTCACTTGGGCCTCCATGTTTCCACATGTCATACAGTGATAATTTAAGCGTAGTGGATTCCATATAATTTTTTGTTTGTTCAAACCATCATTGTGTTACAAGTGTCAAACAGGTACATTAACAACACAAGGGAAAAGCCAAATCTAAGCAACAGCAATTAAATGTTTACGAATAATCCTAAAAGAAAAACAGGATCTAAAAGTCAGGAAAAGCTAGAAGTACTGACAGGAAATCAGAAAGGTTCCAACATGTGTTGATACCATCAGTGAAACAAGCTGGACACAGAAATAGGTCTAGATGGACAGTAGGTCTAGATGTCGACCACACACACAGTGGCTAGATGGACTATCTAGATGTCAACCACACACACAGTGGCTAGATGGACTATCTAGATGTCAACCACACACACAGTGGCTAGATGGACTATCTAGATGTCGACCACACACACAGTGGCTAGATGGACTATCTAGATGCACAACCACAGTGGCTAGATGGACATCTAGATGTACAGTGGCTAGATGGACTATCTAGATGTCAACCACACACACAGTGGCTAGATGGACTATCTAGATGTCGACCACACACACAGTGGCTAGATGGACTATCTAGATGTCAACCACACACACAGTGGCTAGATGGACTATCTAGATGTCAACCACACACACAGTGGCTAGATGGACTATCTAGATGTCGACCACACACACAGTGGCTAGATGGACTATCTGAGGCCTTAAATACCAGCATCCACATTGCATATACCAATGCTCACACCCAGTGTCTCTATAACTGGAAGAGAAGAAGAGGAGGAAGACTCTACAGCAGCAGTAATGATCCAGATACTTGTTAATACCATAATCACACTTGCTATACATATGGGTACCTATTCAGTTCTTAAATAAAACATGGGAAGCAGCCTTCTCTTTTCTGCTTCGACCTGCAAAGAGAAATTTAACACACAAACACAGTATGTGTAAGCCAGCCCCTTGTATTTTGTTCATTCTGTCATACTGTGAACAAGCATCATTCCATTATATTTTTCTATCAGAGTCCAGTCAGTTTATTTGTCATTACAAACAATTAAAGTGAAGGACACCGTCAGGGCATATAGGGCTAGGACTTTTTTATAGACCAGTCGGCACTCAGTGAGTGATATCGTCAACATCATGCTGGCCGCCCTTAGTTCCAAGGACTGTACCTGGTTCCCATTTGGGGCTGGGTCAAACCCAAGGTCATTTTTGAAGAAAAACAAAATTCCAGCTCCTTTGGGACCTGAACCCAAAACCTTCCAATTTGCAGACAAGTGTCTAGCTGCTACACCATGGCTGCTCTTTACAAAGAAGTAAAGGGCACTTATTACTGCTATAGCTCACTGGACATATGATGCTAGACTCATATTGATATAGACCAACCGTTAGCCAGTGGCACTGGGGTCAGCATCACGCTGGCCATCTTTACTTTGAAGGCATCAAACAAGTGGGTTGACCTGGTAGCCAAGTTTAGGTTTGAAAAATCCAACTCTGTGCAGATTTGAACTGAAGACCCTTAGGCCAGCAAGCGATCTGCTAGCCAGTAGGCTACCATGGCTCGCTGTTATTTATTAGAGCTAGCAGTTGTCAGAATCTCTGCTTGGTCTGCTAATCAGTGCCATCGAAATATGTGTTCACAGTTGAGCCACTAATGCATTGTTGTAATCAGGTTTATGTAATATCAGAACCATGCTAGGTTTAACACAGAACAGATCTGTTTTTGTCAGCACTCATAGAAGTAAGTATAAAGAGGAATGCACGCTAGACCAGGCTGCTCATCTGGTGGCCCGTGGACCAGATCTGGCCCGCAAAGGCCTAGTAAGTGGCCCGGGGATCATTGCTAGTTCCTCATCGTCATTATCAGCATAAACCACTTCTACCATTAAGCGCCGTAGATAGGAATAATTGCTAGTTGTATTATATTAATGATCTTTTGTGCTGGGGCTTGGGCCTCATTCCCATCATGATCGCCATTTTCACAATTTAGGCCCCTGAGTTAATTGAATAGCCCTGTTCTAGACTATTAGAGTCCATTCTAGTTTATCCTTCTTTCTTTCTACTTCTTTCAATATATGCCAATCAGTACATGT